CCGAGAACTAAAAAATAAATATTAAAAATTCTCTCTCTCTCTCTCTCTCTCCCCTCTCTCACTCTCTCTTTAAAAAAAAAAAAAAAAGTTTGGGATCTTAAGCTCTGCACCACGCTGTCATATATAAATAAAAATAAATAAATAATTTTTTTAAAAAAAGATTTACAATAAAAAAGAATAAAAAGATGAAATGAAAATTACTCTTTTCCTTGCAGAAGCCTATAAATGTTAGGATAATATTCAACAGATTGACAGGGTGAAACTGGGATCTCTCCATACATGTGCATATTTCAACATTTCTTGGTCCATGCACAAACACAGGTGCCTGGTCCAGCTGCAGTGCTTGTGGTTTCCTCCAGCAGGGCTCCTCCCAGATTTGCATCTTTTTCTTGGTCTTCTCACACACTTCCTGTGCCTTCTTCTGGCTTTTAAGGTAGTAGCTTCCACCTTTACACTCATACTTGTCCATTCATGCTGCTATAGCAAAATGTCAGTGATTACATAATTTATTTCTTATGGTTTTGGAAGCTGACAAATTCAAGATTACAGTGTCAGCATTTGGCATCTGGTGAATATTCTTGCTGCTACCAAGATGAAACCCTGTTGCTTTCCTCCCATGGCAGAAGGCAGAGGGTATAAAAATCCTAACTAGTCCCCTTTAGTTCTTTCAAAGGATATCAATACCATTCATGAGGTCAAAGCCCCAGAGTTCATTATCTAAATGCCCCATCTCTTAATACTACCACATTTGTTCTTAGGTTCCAACGTAGGAATTTTGAAGAGACACATATCTTCAACAATAGCACTTAATAAAACTCTTGTGTTTTTTAAAAAACACAAAGTGACAGTGCATATTTTAACAGAGCCCCTCAAGAGACTTAAGTCCCTGCCTTCCAGCCCCAGAAAATTGCCTGATTCCAAGGCTCAAAAAATCTACAGCGTATTCATGGAATCAGGAGTAGACACACAAGTGAATGAAAATTATTGAGGTATAGACTCAATGCAAATTGCAAAACCTTCCTAACAAGTTTTAGTATACAAGGATTAGGCTGACTCACACATAATAAGTTTGAGTCTAGGAAGTATTTAAGCTTAGACTGAATGACTACTTGGTAGAAATTTTGTAGAAGTGTTTTGAGCTGTAGAGGGTGGTTGGACCATATCACATCTATGTTCTGTACAAAACATTTAAAATTCCCAAGCTGGACAACAGCAGTGATGTTTATACTTTGTAAGTTGTTCAGAAATTCTCAACTTACATTTCAAAACATACTATAGGGCATATACTTTCTCCTAATTTTAGTGTATAAGAAAGTCCTAGAGGGAGATTTCCCTTATATGCAATGCATAAGGTATTTTATTGATATCTGTCATCACAAGCAAAGATCTATATCACACACCATTCCCTAGGCTCATAAGACTTCTTTTTCCCCCAACAATATTTGATATTAGAAAATACTCCCTTTCATGGACACCTTCATTGTCATCATGAGCTCTTAATCTTAACAAATGGCATAACTTGAAGCAACTTTGGGAAAAAATACCTGGTGGTCATTTTGTAACATTTTTAAAAGATCCAGTACTGTAATATTCCAGAGAGTGAAAGTTTTCTTGTTCATTGTTAAGGTCCTAATAACCAGTACAACAAAAATTAAAATGAAGAAAGAACTAAAAATTACAGAAGAAAGGCAGTTTTGCTGTCATTCTTTCTTTTCCCAAGAAAGAGATAAGAGTCAACAACAAAGTTATGGAAAACTAGGTAAATTCAATAATGATCCTTTCCCATTTCCATCTGTTTAGCCCTGTTTAGCCCTGACAAATGAATTTAAATTGTAATAAAAGCAAATCCTTAACAATCATATATATAAATAAAGAATGCTATTTATTTAATGTCTATCCCATTTATCATTTAAATAGTTCTTAGAACAAATTTTTATATTAATAAATTTCATTTTTACAGAGACCAAATTGTAACACTCATTTGCTGCTAGGAACAAAGTAAAAGTAAAGGTCTAGAGTTGGCCTCTTTTAAAATCTATGTTGTAAAATCACGTGAAGTTTTAACAAGTTCTAATATATAAAATATCTTTATAGGTATTATGTGTTCTCCTATTTGGTTTTCTTTTTATTGTGCTTTTTCAGTTTTCATTTTAAAGTTGACTGTATTGTGGTCATTTATTTGAATTTTTATCCTTCTTATAGTACACAGTATCTTTGTTTGTGATGAAAAATATCAATAGTTTGTAACTGTATAAAGTATCTCAAGTTGTTATTTATACAAATGTAAAGTTAACAATGCCTTCACATATTTATGAATTTTTCTTTTCATCATTTTGAACTAACATACACAGCAGGAAAAGTAACATGATTAATAGAATTCAAACAATAAGTACTAGAGTTCAGCAGTTAACTCATTGTCCTGGCTTGTAATTTAACTAATTCAGGTAATACTATCTTCTTATTGACAATTTAGCATATACATTTTATAAATTGTACTTTGCCCCTCCATGGTAATTAGTATAGAATTGTTGATACTCTGTTGAATTGAATATACCTAAAGCAAAGTTTGGTGATCTGCCCTTTTCCAATGTAAGTCTATTTTTTTAAGCTGCGTAGTATGCATTTTTCCCTCTCTCTCTCTCCCTCTCTCTGTTATACAAGTTTAGTAAATGAATCATAAAGAAATTAAATGTTTTAGTTCTGATCTACTGTGATTCTGTTTCACATTTTATCTTGAAATATTGTCTAACTTTCATACTCTATGTGGTTTAATCTAGATCAGAATTTGGAAATCAGTAGCCTGGGAAAGTTTTCCCAGGAGTCGGCTTTAAGAGGTGGAAGAGCCAGTGATGGTTCCCAGGAAGAAGCAATAGACCAGTGGGCCAGAAGGAGGCAGCAATTCAGAGAAGGCAGAAGATGTAATTCAACAGGAGGGAGCTCATTCACCAGCAACATCACTGAAGGATCCAGTGAGTAGTCAGCTCCTTGTCCTCAGCAAAGGCAACAGTTTACTGAATCTTGACCAGACTCCCCCATCCAGTTGCTTTTATCTGCAAACATAAACTACTGTTTGAACATGGTGATTATAAGTTTTAATATGAATGGCATTTGTGGAATAATCAACTCTCTGTTATCCATTAAGTAATCCTTCCTTTGTAAATTATCTTCTTTAGAAAGTACAACTGCCTGCTAAGGCACATTTTCTCTTTGTAGGAAAAAAGCCATCTATAGGGTTTTTTATGAAATTAAATGTGTGTCTTACTTCAAGGAATTTGTATTGGTTTACAAAGTATGTATACTGCAAAAGGATAAGATAAACACATTTGATTATAAGTAACAAGTTTAATGTTCTATCTGAGGTGCATGTGGTAATGCAAATCAAAACTACTGTAAGACTTGATCTCACTCCAGTCAGAATACAAGCATCAATAAATTTTGGTGAGGATGTGGGGGAAATGTATACTTATACATTGCTGGTGGGAATGCAAATTGATGTAACCATTATGGAAAGCAGTATGGAGATTTCCTCAGAAAACTTGGAATAGAACCACCATCAGCTACTCCATTGCTTGGTTTATACCCAAAGGACTTAAAATCAGCACATTACAATGACACAGCCACATCAATGTTTATAGCAGCTCAACTCACAATAACTAAACTATGGAACCAAGTTGCCCTTCAACACATGAATGGATAAGAAAATGTGAGATAAGCACACACAAACACACACACACACACTCAAAATAGAATATTACTCAGCCTTAAAGAAGAATGAAATTATGGCCTTTGCTGGTAAATAGATGGAGCTGGAGAATATCATGCTAAGCAAAATAAGCCAACCCTAAAAAAAAAACAAAGGCCAGATGTTTTCTCTTAAGTGCTGATTCACAATGGCAGGCAGCACTTAGGGAATAATAGTATTACTTAAAATTAGGTAGAGGTGAGTGAAAGGAGGGGAAGGGATATGGGGACAGAAAGGATAGTAGAATGAATCAGACATTATTACCCTATGTACATGACCAGTGGGATTCTACATCATGTACAACCAGAAGAATTAGAAATTATACTCCATTTATGTATGATGTATCAAAGTGCAGTCTACTGTCATGTATAACTAACTAGAACAAATAAAAAAGTAAGTAACACATTTTCTTCTGTTAACATTTCTGAAATGATAAATATCTTTAAATGGATGTGCATTTTAGTGAGATACTGTTTCTCTTGCTATTGACAGACTGTTTTTAAAATCAGTGGATTCTTCAGTCTCTGAATCAATAGTAAACGACAATGGAAGATAGAACATCATTGAGAAAACTCAACTCAAGTGAAAATCCACATTGAAAAAAAATAAAGAGGGATTAGTTCATTTAGTTACACAAGAAAGAGGTAGGAAGGAAGGGATGGAAGGAAGGAGGGAGGGAAGAGGAAGGGATAAAAAAGACAGAACAGAATTGTGATACAGAGAATGACTTCAAGAAAAAGCAGTAGTGAGTGTCCTAGGTCCTGACTTACAGACAGGCTGATGTGATGACACCAGTATAGTTCATGAAGGTAGTGGTAGAACTTATCAAGAAGTTGAAGTGTTGGCACAGGCTAGAGCTGAAAATGTAGGGGGAACAATTACAATTATTTTAAATAACCAAACATTGTGCTCTATCATTATCAGCACATGTGAGCAATGAGGAATGTAAGTTGAATGTTCTATTTTGCCCTGAGACTTTATATTCTTTTCCCTTGATCAATGTCTGGTTTTTTTCCTAGTTCCTTCTTATTTGGCAGCAAGAACTCCCCAGGATCTGAAATCCTAAATTTTTATTTTCAAATTTACTTCAATGTAAGGTTCTTTTAGTGTCATTTATTATCCATATACCATTAAATACATTCCTGGAGAATATACCTTTTTTTGTTAGACTTCCAATAAAATAACCATACTGCTTCACATTTGTTCTAATATTCATGTCTTTCTACTACCAGCCTACCAGCCCCTTATCAACTGTTGTATTTATATTCTAGAATTTGGTACAAATTTTTTAAAATATTTTAATAATAAATTAGATATTTCATTAACTTTTCCTCATCATTGCTTTTTGTATTAATTACTTCAAACAAAATTTACTTTATATTTCTTCTTGTTATAATAATTCTTCTAATAACATTTTCAGGGAAATTCTGTGGGAAATGAGCTGGATCCTTATATATCTGAAAATGTATTCACTTCCATCTTAATTATAAGGGATAGCTTGGCATAGTTTGATGTAGAATTCTAGGTTCAAATTATGAAAGAAACTAGCTCATTGTTGTCCTCTAACTATGGTGCTAATGAGAAGTCTAAGTCCAATCTGATTCTTACAACTTTTGTCATCAATACACATTTTTTTTGTTTTTAGTATCTTTTAAGGGTTTCTCTTTACTCTTGGTTTTCTAAAATTTTTCTATGCACCCAGGGTGTGTAGTTTAAATATCTGTCTCCTGTTTGGCATTCCATGGGATCTCACATGTTCATAATTCATTCATTTTTTTCATATATTTCTTTAAATTCCCAGAGATTTTTTTCAAATATTCACTTCGTTTTCTCCTCTTTTATGTGTCCTACTTGCACTCCCTTCCGCTGGTCATTAACTTTTGCATTTATTTTCCATGTGCCTTAATTTTTCCTTTGTACATCTCCTCATCTTTTTCTTTCTTTCTTTCTCTTTTCTTTTTTTTTCTGTAATGAGAGAATTCCTTAGCTCTATCATTCAATTTAGTAATTCACTCCTCATCTAAGTCCTCCCTGCTCTTTAACCTATTTTTTTTAACTTTAAAAATTTGAGCAATTTCATTTCTAATTTAAAAAATCTCTATGCTGTTCTGAAGTTTTTATTGTTTAATTCTTATACCTTTGAGAACATTATTTTATATAAAGTTTTAATCTAATTATTCTATCAATTATTTCCTCAAATGCACACTCTGATTATGGATTTCAGGTATTGCCAATTTGTGGAATAATGAGAATTCCTTCTTATTTTTAAACCCATCTTTAGATCTTATAAAACACCACACACACACACACACACACACACACACACACACACACACACGTATACACAACCTCTATCTCCAAAACATTTATCTCCTGTTTGATATTTTGCTGGATTTTGAAATACCTCTTTCCTTTATTATGCATAAAAATTCAGTTGCCACTCTTGCTTCTAAATATGTGTAATCAAACTTATTATAGTATTCATAAAAGACTGCAGGAATTAGGACTTACCCACACATATGTTTTTCTAGCATTTCTATCAAAATAGGACACTGTGATCTATCCTTGTTCCACTGTCTAAAAATCATCTCTGAGAATTGCTTCTATTTACCCCTCTGGATTTCTTTTCTGCCCTTCTTACCTTTTTCTCTGGCCCAGGAGTCTCATCTCTTTGACCTATATCAAAGGCCTGCCTGACTTTCTGTTGAGTTCTAATGAGGGAGATCAGCAGGGGCCTAGAGGGAGTGAAGAGGGTGAGGTCTTGGAAAAATTGCTCCTGATCTCTCCCTGTAAGATGCCAAAGGCTGGCTGACTCTAAAGCCACACTCCCATAGAGTGACCCTCTTCACACTGTCTTCAATGGCTCTGTGTTGTGGTAAAGCTACCTGCTCCTTCCCCTATCATTTTTGTCTTAGACGAACTCTTCTTATTCTCAAGACTATGACATTTGATTTCCTTAAATCCTGTCCACACTTTTGAATAGTGTTTTTATTAAATTCACCTCAGATATTCATTCGAGTGTACCATCTTTTTCATGCCATGACCCTATGATGCACCAGTACTCTTCTCTGTTGCTGTTGAATGCCATGCCATCAAGTATCACCAAAACATCTATCAATAAGACACAAACGCTTACTGCCTACAGAGAAAAGGGTCATCCACTCAACAGAGCTTTGATAATGCCTCAGAGTGAAATAGGCAAAGTTGGATTTCAATAAGAATTAAAAACTTGATTTAATGTAGGTGTTTCAATATGAGAGGTTCATTAGAATTGAGTCAGGGTCATGAATTAACAGTTTAAGACTAGTGGAAATGGTAAGGCAAGGCTTTTAAAGATTTCAAAGAATCTAAGAGAATAAACTATTTGTTGGTCCTTTTCCCTGAAAAGTTGATGACTTTTTTTTTAAGTTCCTATAATAAAGTGTTTACCTGTCACCAGTCTCTTGGAAGAGCAAAATTGTGCTTAGCCTGTGGAATAAGGTCACACTAATTAAGAAAGGAAGACATATGATAGTAGGAGGTTTATGTTTTCAGTGTCCAAATAATGAGATGGAAGTTTTGTTCTCAGTGTACTCTAATCTTCTCTAAATAAATACCTGACATTTTATTAAGACTGATGCACCAAACTGGATTTTCCAGAGAGCAATGAAAATCTTTTTTTTTCAAATGTTGTAATTAGTTATACATGACAGTAGAATGCATTTTGATACATCATACAACAAAAGAGCATAACTTCTCATTCTTCTGGTTGTACATGATATAGAGTTACACCAGTTGTGTAATCATATATGCACATAGGGTAATAATGTGCAATTCATTCTACTATCATTCTTACCCCCATATCCCTTCCCCTTCTTCACTCTCCTCAATCTAATCCAAAGTACATCTATTTTTTTCTAGACCCCCGCCCCTTATTGTGAATTACCATTCACATACCAGAGAAAACATTCAGACTTCGGTTCTTTGGGATTGGCTTATTTCACTTAGGATGATAATCTCTAGAGAGCCATGATCTTGAACCGCCCTTCTTATTTTTTTGGTTTTGTGTCTGATAGACTTTCTATCTTTGAACATATTATTTCTCTTCATGTACGAATACAAATCTTGTATTATGTATGCAACTGCTATATTAATTGACATTGATTCTATGTTTCTAGGTCCTGCAAGACTATATCACACAAAATTAAAAGTAAGGAATATAGGATTTCCCAAGACATCAAAGGAGAAACATGGAGAGGGTTTACACTATGTAAACAATTTGAAGTTTCATTATGTATTTCTATTTCCAGGGCACCTAAGCAATATGAG